TAATTAGCAAATAGTAAATAAAACCGTTATAAATATCAATAGCACTCCATTTTTATTGAGGTTTAATTAAGGCCAAAGGCCTTGGAGGGTTGGAAACATGAAGTTTATAACGAATCTAAATTTTGGGATGAGTACCGCCGACCCTTTTTCGCAGATCGTTTTGGGATTCACTGGCATGAGTCTGGGCGCCATTGTCGCTCGTTATTTTTATACTTATGCAAATCTCGAGATTTGTCGAAGGCCACAATTTGCAATGCAAAGCCGGAGTAGTCGAAGGAAATTGTTCGTCGACGAACTCGTATTTAATTAAGGAAAGCTCGCGTCCTGCGAGTCCACTGGTATTTCATAAGAACGATTTTGAATTTACATTAAAGTGCTATCGGGATATTTAACACACTGTTATTATTCTACGATTAAGCACCAAGCTTTGTTATTGGCTGTTTGCATAAAACAATTATTAGTTATTTAAAAACTGTCTTGTCCTGTGCAAATCGATCAATACAAATATGTATATATGTGAGAGTCGTTTTGAAAAATTATTAATATCGGCAAATTATACATATTTTGTATATATTTTAACTAGAGAGCATTCATTAATTTAAAAAAAAAAAAAAAAAAGAAAAACGATTTTGACATCTAAATTATTTAAACAATTAAAATTAAAATCCGTGACAAATTATAATACTTTTATTAATTTTTTATTAAAGAAAAAAAAAGAAAGTTTTTTTAAAGTTATTTTAAATTTATAAAAAGAATAATATATGATACTGTGCATCATGACTTATGAATAATTCGAAACTAAATTTGTCAAAAATACTAAAAGATAATAAGCTCCATTTTGGGATGGCGAGTGTAGAATAGACATTAAAAGCGCATGTCATTTTACGTTACGTTTAATTAATGGCCTATGGGCGAAAATGGTGTGTATTTTCTGGAAAATTAATTCGGGAAATGTGTGAGCGGCCATTGGTATGTCGCCTGTGTCGCTCTCGCAAGAGTGGCCACCTAGTAATATTGCATCCATATATAGGGTGTCTCAGATATTGCGCATTTTCTTTCAGCTAGAGATTATTCTTTGAAATCTTTTCTGTTTTTATTAAGTTAAAATTTTACGATTTTTATTTTTTTCTATTTTAAATTTGAATCTTTTAAATTAATTTTCTATTATAGTTCTATTAAAATTAAAAGAAGAGCAGGATTTTTATTTGCTTGCACACATGCTTGAATTTTAATTCTTACATATTTTATACATATTAGTTCGTTAATTCAAGAATTTACTGCTGTGATGTTGAAACAAATGGCGAAAGAAAACGCAATCATCGACACCTTGTATATTTGCCACTGCGAAGCTTATACGAACTACGATGTATTGCGCATGTGTTCGTCGCACAAATTGCTTCGTCCAGATACCACAAGCTGCGTCACCTTTAATCGTTTGCGTATATTTGTGTATATTTGTGTACATTTTATATGAAAATGTGGTAAAGCAAAACGAAAGAATGAGAAGGATAGAAAGCTTGGGAAATAAATAACGAGATTAACGCGTTTCGAGAGAAAATTTAGTATGCTACAAAAGGGAGTGATTTATGCATCCTACTTCGCGAAAAATACAATGGTTATATATTTAACGATTCGATATATCAAGAGATTCTTTTGGGTTCATATTTCATACAAAACTTGAAAAATGCTACGCACTTGTATATCGCGCATAGCAATTGCACAAAAAGTTAGCCAATTGAGCTATACATCAAAAAACCAAATAAAAAACAAAAAATATTAAAATTCTATATTTTTATTGTGATCGATCGTAGATTTCTTTTTACTATTTCAAAATTGGCATAAATATTTAGGATTGCATGGAGAATATTATTTAATCTGTAAAAATTTCATTCATTAAATTCAAAAAATATATAAATATTATTCGAATTCTTTGAATTTTTTGTAAAACTTTTAGATACATAAAATTAAATTGCATTATTATTATAAATTGTTTTCATATATATTATTATATTACATTTATATTTTAATAATTATGCAGCGCTAAATAAAAATAAGAATTAACGTTTTTTATAAAACAAAGCTACTATAAAATTCAGCGTTGCATCTGCTGTTAAAAAGTCCCGACTAATTTTTGTGTTGGGTCTTAATATTACTGAAGTTAATACCGCTATCGGAAAGTACGGCCATACAAGACAACGTGAAACGTGTGCCCGAAACGTTTCAGGAAAGGGACCATTAGTATGCGCCGATCGTTTCGGTTCGGTAACCGCGCCGGTTCGGAGCTTCAAATCCTGGGATTACGCGCTTGCGTTTGCTGCCTGTGCTGGCCTATACGATACGTTCGATAAAATAACCGTGTTCGATGCACGCGGCAGTATTCCCTGGCGAATCCTGAAATAATTTTCCCCTAACAAGAATATCGAGGCAGAAATAGCATTTCAGCTTTGATCGATTAAAAAGAGAAGGCTTTTGACAAATCGTATTCTAGAAATACAAGATAATAAAATGGTAACCCATATGAATAATTTCAAATGAATTTTACTTTAACTGAATTTAAATTTATATATGCGATTTTGCAAGAAAGTATAACAGCTATGTATTCGATTCAGTCTTGATACAATTTGATCGTATCAAGAGACTCTTTCTCTATGTTTTATGCAAAATTTCAAAAAATGTTTTGCACTCATGTATTGCGCATAGAAATTGCACCAAAATCTATCTAATTGGATTATACTGTGTCAAAAAATTCAAATATGACATATGAAAGATGATGAATATCTAAATTGTGTATTTTCACTGTGAGAAGCTACTTCAATTTACATCAAAGCCTTAAAAACTGCAAAAAGAATTTCAAGTTAATTTTAATCAAAATGGAGGTTATTTATTTTTTCACCAAATATCGAGTATCACACTGTTCGTCTGTTAACGAATACGTCTGTTAACGAATATTTTATATATATATAGGATTAGCGTAGTCGAAAATAAAAGGGTCAATAGGCAGTAGCCGCAAAACTCGTTCGTCCGAAACACACGCGAACTTTTTGGCAATTTCGTTGACATGTGCGACACGTTGCATGTAAAATGCGTTTCGCTTTGAATACGACGACCATTTGCAAATGTAGTTACTGGGATTTTAACGAAATTCACCGATAAAATTATTCTGCTAGTTATTTATTTTATTTTAAACCTCAAGTATTTCCGCGAGGTGCAAACGTGGTTGATTAATTCTTGTTAGTGATTTGTTAAATATATGTCACGAAGTTGAAAGAATGACATATTTTTATTTCTGAATATTTTTAAAGAGTTTTATCCGAAATTTTTCTGATAAAATAAAAATTATATGTAATATATATATATATAATTTGATAAAATATAAAAATTATAATATATATAAAACAAATATTCATAATTAATTTTTTATTTCTTTTTTTACTTTCTTTATTTTATATATGTAGAATTTATTTTAATAATATATTTTTTTTATTACTATTTTTTATTGTATTTATTTTTAAGCTTGGAAACAGATTATTCAAAGATATTCTGAGATGAAAATTTCAATCTTCCAAGAAACGAAAAATATTTTACATTTATTTTTTTTTCGAGGAGATGAAACGAATACGAAATCACGAAATGTTTTATTCCTCGCGGCCCGAAATAATCTCGACATAATTTACCGTACCATGATGATGATGGATGTGTCGCGCGACTCAGCTTAATTACCACGTGAAAGATGGTTAACAACGGCAATTAAACAAAGCAATTAAAAGTTTTTCCATGCTAGAGTTACTGAGACTGCGTAAACTTTTTCCTGTGTTTTCTTGGTAATTCGCAAGAAGCATTTTTATATCAGGTTTTTATCTGTTATATAACCTGCGGCAATTTTATTCACTTTTCTTGCAGTTGTTTAGATTTTTTTAGTTGTTATAACTAACGTTAATTCGCCATGTAAATAACGTAGATATTTTGATCTTTGAATAAACTATAGCATAGATGGACGTCAGTTTTTTAGGTTGTTAAATTTTAAAATTGCGTGTGCGTCATTCAATCAAAAATTGAAAAATACGTATTGTAAAATATTACTGTTATCTTTATTTATGAAAACGATATTGTTCAGCAACGAAAAAGATGTTGTGAGCATCTTTATCTTAATAAAATTTTAATAACAAAAATAATTAATTATTTTTCTTTTCTCCCTTTCTTGCGATATCATTTAGAATTATTAAAATATATATTCAAAATAATTAAATGTAGAAAATTGCAAAAAATGCGAATAAAGTGAGATACAATAAAATCTGTGAAATATGCACAAAATTTTTTAACAAAAAAACTTGCGGAGAAAATAGACGAAACAATAAAATTATGAAAACTCAGAATATTTCCGTATTTATATACAATGAAAAAAAAAAAAAAAAAAAAAAAAAAAAAAAAAAAAAAGAATAGATAAGCTCTATTTTTATATTTTTGAAATAGTACTAAGTGTTATTTTGTAGATGCGAGATCTCTCGCAAGAACTTTCGTTATGGTTCTCTTTGCAACACATTGTGTCACTATTCTCCCGCGAGTGCCTCTAAACTCTTACTAAAGGCATGCGCTTAAAAATGCATTTGTCGTCGCCGTCAAGGGTACAATTCTATCTACGAAAGTAACATTCTGCGACATGTAGGCCAAGGAAAAAATATTTTGCGAAGCTTGCATCAAACTTCTACAATTTAAAACTCTGCAGTTCTTTACCCAAGTTAAATAACTATTTAATATTAAATATTTTGGTGATAACTACAAATTTTAATTAAAATTCTGTAAAATTCGTATAACTTTTTTAGAATTAACTGGAAGATAAAGTTTCGGCGAAACACACATACACACATATTAGGATTCTTTAATATTAAATATTTTTTTTACGTCTTTTAATTTTTGAGAGGGGAAAAAATCGCAAAATATATCGTTGAATTTTTACAAGTAATTCTTGTAAAATAATAGGAAAAAGAGAAAAATATTTTAAATCTCATTGCATTGGATTATATTTTTTCTAGAGTGGATTACATATGGATTCATAAATAGCGAATAATATCTTACGTAAGATACACATACACGAAGAAAAATTAGCAACGTTTCGTCAATTTTTTTTGTTAATATTTTATACGATGGCAATCATGCAAAAAATCACGCTGCGAATAATTTCTTCAGGAAAATTCAGATTCACACAGACATTTAGACGAGTTAATAGAATGTATATATAACATGATAATATAACCGAAATGTTTTCAATGAATTATGTGATTCGTAAATATAATATGTACACAAAGAGACATTCTCGATAACGCTTCGTTAATGTCTTTTTTAACATTTCAGAGAATAGATAATCATAAATCATAGTATCACGTTGCAAATGTATAAATTCAGATGGTGGATGGTCCGTTTTGTCTTTACATAAATTGTAAGCTATTTGATAAGAGAGACTTGCTGTACATATGTGTAATAATGTAATAAGCGTACTTTAGATATACAAATGTATACATTTTATCTAAAGTGAATAATATAGATACAACTGCAAGAGGTATTATATATATCTATTAGCAATCTCTTACGCAATAAGATACTGTAACCGGATAAGACTCACAATCAGTTCTTAACATGGTTCGTTTCCTGTTTATCTCGCGCGATTCTTTTAAAAGCTCTATCGTGCATACAAATGGTTATTTAAATCATGATGCAATTGTAATAATTAATCTCGAATAATTTTGCAAAGAGAAGGACGATAATATTTTCAAATTTTGACAGACCATATTCAAGAGTCAAGTATCTTATAAAACAATATCTCTCTTTCAGTAATCAAATAAATAACGGCTAATATATTTCGCGGTTTTGTTGAATAATAATATTAATAGATAGTAAAGAAAAAAAGTAATAATTTGAATACTTGACGAAAATAAATCCAGATGACCTCATTTTTGACATGCTTTTTTTTGATGAATTATCTTACGTGGTCGCGTCACGAGTGATGTCGTCGTGCAGTCGGGTTGTAAAATCAGAGGCTGTGACTGGTCGAATAGTTTCGCGTGTTCCCCCGGGCTTATGTGGTTGCTCGGCGTATCTAGGCCACGTAATAGGATCTGTAGGCCGCGGCGTAATAGGGGTAGCTGGAATAGGCCGCGTACGCGTAGGGGTAGCTGTATGCGGAGTAAGCAACGGCCGGGGCGGTGTATGCGCTGTAAGCGATCGGAGCCGTGTAAGCCGCACTGAGCAGCAACCCTCGCTTGTTCCTAGCCGCTTCCGGCGAGATGGGCTCGGCCTGTGCCGGTTCGATGGACTCTACCTCGGTGGGTTTCGCCTCCGCGAGAGCCGCGGCGGCCACCAGGGCGAAAAGAGCGATAACCTAGGAATAGTAAAGAAAAATATGTAAAGACACATTTATGCGCTATATCATAAGCTTTCAGCCTACGTCCTTTAAAGAAATTTGTAAAGCAAAACTCGGAATTTTGTGTTGAATTTTTGATTTTCCTACTTGACGTTGAGAAGAAATGGAAAAATAAAACGATTTTTCTACACAGAGAAAAATATTCTACTGTCAAAAAAAGCGATTACTCAGTTTATTTTTCTTTTTTTAAGTAATAGTTTTCTTCAACAAAAAATATATTCTTGATAATAGTCTTAAAATATACTCATCACAAGTGTTAGAAAATCTCATTATCATGTACTCAAAAGAAGAATTTATTTTCTCTTCAAGAATATTATAAAGTTGTATCAAAGAAAAATCAAACTTACTTTACGTCAATTCTTGTAGTAAGCAAACCAAATTTTTGTTTTAATTTAATATTCTTGACTAAAATACTGCACTTATTAAAATTCAGAATATATTCAATTAAATTTAATGCTTGTGGTGAACTTATGATATATTTGCGGATATACAAATTTATGATATATTTAAAATAAATAATATTTACTTGAATACAGTATACATTTTTCTCTGTGTAATCTTGTTGATTGAGAGACAGATTGAAATTTATAGGCTTGGAAATTTTCAACTCTCATAATTCTGTTTAAATATTTTTATCGTTTACGAGATACATGATTTTCTTTTTCTCTTCTCTATCTCGATTTGATATTTCTAAAATAAATAAATTAGAATCGTGTATGAAAATATTATTGTTAAAAATCAATTGAGACAATTTGTTCTAAAACTAAACCAGTCAACTATGCTATCACGAAGAAAGATTCGTTCTACTCACGGCTAAGCACTTCATGTTTGCAGGCTGAGTTGAGAGAGAATCGCTTGGGAAAGCTTAGGAGAGCTCGAAGATCGAAGATCGATTGATGCTCATGCTCTTGGGGTGGCGGACTTTTATACGCCAATCGTACGTGCATCGATTCGCGATTATCATTTTCGATCCGCGTAATCGCGCATAACAATTATTGTCCTCGTGACATTGTCCGTCGAACATAGAGGTAGAGAGGGAAACATCATCGGGAATTTAAACGCAAGTATCGGAGTTGAGCAACCCGTCCTTGGCCGACGTCCAAACAGAGAAGCGCAAGAACCTTTTATTGCGCTGCCTTCGCATGTAGTATCGAATCTGTAATTTTGTAATATCGATTTATTAACGTTTCACAAGAATATAATATAATTAATGTATTTAAAAAATGTAATATAATTACTTTGTTTCGATTTTCTTGTCTTTCTTTAAGTGAAAAATATTTTCGACTTTACATAAAAGTGTTCAGTGAAGTTTCGAAGCTGATATTTTATTCTACACGAATAATGTGTAGAATACAATAGCATAAATAATATGTGAAGAAACATGAGATTTATAACAATGATTATTTAATTTTTACAAAGAACAGTATTACATTTATGACGTCTTCGAGAAAGTAAAGGTATTAATGTATTCTGTTAATTTATACGTAGCTAAATACGACATTACCTGCTTCTCATTGATATTCCATGCGATCGTCACGCTTGTCGCAGCAATTTTCATGACGCAGCTATAATTTAGCTATTCTGGCCTTGTATCTGATCGGACCCTGTTCACGGCCAGGGAATCCAGATGGTCTCCGCGTCGTTTGTGCACTATTAGGTTTGGACCGAATTCGAATTCCTGCGGGGATCCTTGATGGCGCGTGAAAATCCTAAATTCAATAAAATTCAATTTGAATCAGATTTTACGGACCCATTCTCATTGGGAGCTATAATCGTCTTAAACTATAATTGTTTACCAAATCTTTATGAACAATTATCCACAAATACGATTTCTCGATTATAGATTTCTTCGGAATAGAAGAAACTAAATCGGATTTTCTTTTTTGGCGAAAATTTCAAATCAATATACTACATTTTAAATATTAATATTACTATTAATTATAAGTATATGTAAATAAAAAAAACCACGTTTAATTTCAGACAAACATTTAAGATTGGCTAATATTTAATATTTAATACTAAATGTAAAAAGGGATGATTGTCGCGATATTAATTAATCGTTTATTAAATTTTCAGCAGAACAATCATGAGCTTTTCGAAGTATCTGCCATTAGGATATATCTCGGTGATATGATTGTGGAATGCAAGAATTCTGTAGAATTCTTGGCATGATTTACCGTCGGAAATTGTTTCGTACTGCGACAATGTTAAAGCGGGAGACGAAAGGCACACGCGATATGCTTCTCGACACAGTAGTTACGGTAACTTGGCACAGGAGTAACGATCTGTGTCGTTAATCATATTTTATTCAAGTTTCCACTTGTCGCGCTGGGAACACAACGTTATATTCTTTTCAGTGACGATAGACAATTTTTCATGAGTGCCTGTTGTCTCGAGCGGTTATATTGTGCTTTCCAAAAGATAAAACTGTGACATCGCCAAAGTTGCACATCATTGTCGATAATTGGCTTTTTAACACCCGGGTATGGTGTATAGTATTTCATCATGACATAAAGACATCGACAATGCATCCAGAATGCACAATCGCGCAATTTGATATTTAACATTATATTTTGTCAAGTTTGAAATTTACTTTTATTTGAAAAATTAACATTGACAATTCATTAAAAAATAATAGACTAAAATTACAAAAGAAACAATGAGATGTGTTTTTGTTTATTTTGGGGAAATCTGTACATTACATAATGCTAGCATTATTTATGTTACATTTAATGGAGAGGTAAATGTAATGTTTCTGACACGAAAAGTCACGAATTAAGGAAAGAATACGAGATGGAATATTATACGCGGTAGTATTTTAATAATCTTTTAGAGGCCATTACATGTCTATTATTTCGCTAAATTTAAAAAAGCTGACGTTTCTCAGGCGAACGAATGAGCGAAAGAGATTAGCGACGAGAATCCGCGGAAAAGTCGCATAAACGGGAAGAGACAGAGGGGTGGCGGAGGGTGCGACCGCGTCGCATTATTCGTCCGAAATACCAGCTATTTTCCGCTCTCGAGTCGACGATGAAAGCTAAGGCAGGGAGCTCGATTTCGCTCGCGAAGGCAAGACTTGAGTAATATCGCGACGTCGCTCGAGCGATGACAACGTCGGCCGAGGGCGGTTTGTCGGAGATAGATGCCGGGAATGTCGGAGTGTTTTTCATATAAACGCTGATTGCGAGCCGCATTTTTATCCGCGTCGTGTCGGCATTAGCATACCGTGCCCCTTCGTTGGTCCGGATGCTGTGGAGAATAATTTTCGCTGGAACACTCGCCGTCGCGGCGACGTTGAGATTATCGCGATTTCATTTATACTTACTGTCTTGAAGTTTATTCTTTCGACTTACTGTTCTTTTATGAAATAGAAAAAGAATAATGAAACGGACGAATTATTTGCAAGGTGAACTGCTCCCCGAACGGAGCAAGAATGCAAACGTCTTTCTAAAACGTCGGAAAATCAATTTCTGACAATCTCAAGAATTTTGCGAATAAGACAGTTTATCACGAAGATGACAAATCTACAAGTTTTAAATATTTGAAATTTATAAATGAGTGCTCTTTTTAGTTACTTCTCATTTTTTTTTAATTTTCTTAAAATGTCTAACAAATGATATATAAAAATGATGTATTATAAATGCAGTTGTGTGAAACAATGATATCGCTTCGAGAGAAAGATCTGTCAATCATCCGCCAATTTCTTCAATTCCTTCTAGTTTTCTGCGAGATTCTCGTGATTGGCTATTTGACAAACTCGCGCCATAAACAAAAAAAAAAGAATTCTAAAAAAGATATAAAATATAAAACTACGCTATTTCATACGAGAGCAAACTCTTTTGTCGTTTGATTATTTTTCCCAACACGACTAAGAGATTTCTGCACATTTGTGATAGTGTTATTAAATTTAGATTCCCTCCGGTGCAATTCGGAATGAATTTAGAAACAACAGGAGTGATGCTTATGCAATTTTCTGGTTAAATACTAACCTTTTTTGCTTCTTAAAAATTAAGAATTACAAAATTAGAAAGATTAAACTTCTTAAATACATTCTTTTTTTAATTTTTCACTTTTACAATATTTTAGAATGCAAGAAGGCATCATTATAAATGTAAATGGTTAAATTTTTTCTGCGAATCCAAATAATTGACTTGATGATTTTTTCGACTGTATTTTTACTTCATTCCCAATAGCTCTTTTTCATTTAAAATTCTGGTAGCGACTCATAAGCAGCCCAGTGTCCCTGATGTAATCCGCATACGTAATGTCACTGCTGCACGCGCTGTTTGCGATGTCATACTCGTTACATGACTGACCCGTGTAAGCTCTCCATACAAACATATGTGCGTTTCATGGTCGAATGTACACATCCATGTAATGACATGGAACCATGAGGATACTAATTTGATATCGTAGTATTTTTAAACCACAAAAGATTATTCCTGAGAAAAAAATTTAAATTTATTGATATTAAATATTAAAAATCAATACACACACACACACACACACATGATATTATATAAACGTAAAAATATACATAATTTTTATAATAAAATATTTTAAAAGAACACAGGATATTATTAATTTTCTAAAATATTTCTTCTTGTTTTGACGTTCTATTTCGAAAAATATGGTTTTAAATGACACATAGAGATATGTGCATCATCATTAAGAATGGGATGGCACGCTATATGCGACAAGAAGTATCGATAGTGTAATGGCATTGTTTCGCACTTTTTTAGAGATCCTCTAGTATTGTCACAAATTACCACTGCATCATTTCTTTTTTTCTTTCTTCGTCGCGTCTTCCTCCCGTCACTTTATTCTTTCTCTTTTTCTTTTTTATTCTTTTTTTCTCTGCCAGCTAGTGGCATGCTTTATGAATGGCTCTTTTCTTTTGTCGCTATCGTTTTTACAAAATCGTTTCTTGCGTTTCGTTTTGTACTTCCAGACGAGCAGAGCAGAAAATGCAAGTAAAGCCTTAAGGAAACCTATTCTGATACTTGTTATTTTATACAGCGTGAATATCTCAATTGTCATGTGTATTCCTTTGTAAGAAAAAAATTGCGACGAGTTTTTCCTGGGAATCGAGTGATGCAGGTTGCTGTTTGTATAAAAAGTATCTATCTGACAAGTACGGTCTTAAGTGAATAGAGATTTCTCATTCTAAGATACATTTTTCAGAGTGCAATGTAATTATTTCACGAAAACAATTTGTTATAGTTTATAACACGAATAGCATAATTAATAAATATAATAATTTCAATATATATATATATATATATATATATATATATATAATTATTATAATATTAATAAATTATAAAAATATCGAATGTGTATAACAACAATTGTAATAATGCATAATTTAGCTAATAATAGCCAAAAGAAAAAATAAAAGAAAGATATTAATTAATATTGAATATATAAATATTGACAACAATATTGATATTTGTTTGATAAATGTTAACAATAATATTAATATTTCTTTTCAAATTCGCAGTTTTATTGAGGAAGTTTGATTGGAAAAATTTATAATCTCTCTTTCTCACTCTCTCTGTTGATAGTCAAATTTAAAAGTTTGCAATGTTCGGGAATTATCCTGGATGAAGAGTGATGATGAATAATCTACAGTTGTTTGGAACGAATAATCTAGTTGTTTCGATCGAATCGATTCAGGGGATCGATTCGGTGTCTCTATAAGCCGGGTTTAGAGTTTTTCAAATAAATGTCAAGAGAGTCGCGGCGCGACTCTTTTATTGTGAGCAACGACAGCGATGGTGGCCGATATTTGATTTTCGTGCATATTTGCGCTGTCGGAATCCGCAATCGTTTTCCCGATCAAATGGCAGTCGATTGGCATCGATTCCTTGATTAGTTGAATACCGCTCGGTATCGGGCTCCGAAATCAAAATCACAATCCAGATCGCCACGTGCCGAATCGATT